ATCCAGACACTGAGCCATTGACCACTACTACCTTCTGGATGCAACCATCCAGCGAATTCCTCATCCACCGGACAGTCCATTCATCAAATCCATACATCCATAATGTAATTAAAACAAAAATAAAAATCCATACATCCATAATGTAATAAAAAAAGACTTTTGTGAATACATCCCTGCAATGCAACCCCAGACAATGATACAGCAAGTTAGTCACATTGTTTGATGCTTAAGTATGTGTCAGAAGGCTTCACAGAGGAGTATTTTAGCAACATTTGGTTCAAAAGTGTCATGGTTTAACCTGGCAGGCAGCCAAATACCACACAGCCACTTGCTCACTCCTCCCCTCCCCCCAGTTGGGGGGAAGGGTAAGAGTGAGAAAAACTCATGGGTTGAGATAAAGACAGTTTAAAGAACAGAAAAGGAAAAATAATAATGATAATGATAGAATATACAACATGAGTGATGCACAATGCAATTGCTCACCACCCACGCTGACCGATAACCAAGTAGCGGTCGCTCCTTCCTGGAACATGCCTACCGTTCATATACTGAGCATGACGTTACATGGTATGGAATACCCCATTGGCCAACTGGGCCAGCTGTCCTGGCTGTGCTCCCTCCCAACGCTTGTTTTGTTTTTTTTTTTTTTTTTTTTCATTTGGATGATGTCCTCGACTAGCAGGGTACTTAGCAACAACTGAAAACGTCAGTGTGTTATCAATATTCTTTCTCATACTAAATCCAAAACACAGCACTAGGAAGAAATTTAACTCTATCCCAGCCAAAACCAGGACAGAAAGGTAGGAAAACTGATCTGCAGACAGAAACATGACTAAAAATTTTTCCTGGTAGTTGCATCAAATACTCTACTTGGCTCTTCCTTTCCTCATTTTCTCTTTTTGCTTTTAAAATTATCTAAACAAGTGGGGTTTGCATTATGCTGCCACCAGTGTAGTTAGTTGTAGATGAGCACTACATATTACGGTTTGAAACTCACAGCTCAACGTTGTTTATTCTATTAGCTCAGAATTCAAGGATTATTATTATTATTATTATTTAGGCTTTCTCCCTTCATTTCGTATCTTGCCCTTGCTATTACTCGTTTGTGTTAGAGATTTCAGTCTTTATACTTCTGACAGCTAGTGAGAACAACTAGCTGGCTGCCAGGGTGAGTCAGCAACATGACTCTTTCACAGCAGATTACAAAGTTAGATGCCAAAAGAAAAAAAAAAAAAGCCGAAGAATGCCTCCAGGTGGAATAAAATTAGAGGTGACACTTCAGCATGGGGGATTAGCATTTCAAACCCTTTTTAAATTTTGGTTAAAATATTGGTGAGGGAGTAGAGGGAGGGAGAGAGAAGACTGAAACCCTTACCAAAATATAAAGTGAGAAACCAGTTCCTATAATATTGTAGCTTTACAATATTATCATGGTTCTTTTTTTGCATGTTCAAGATCTTGGTGTGCTTTAAAGTTGTAATTTATAGCTTTTTTTTCCTGTCCCAAGCTAACAGTGGCATTCCACAAGATCACACGTTGCCATGGAGATTAAGACTTCAAGTTTACATGAACAAATTTGTTGAGTTTTGCTTTCTCTGTAAACAAATATTCCACTTCTCTGGCTAGTTTTTACAAAGATAATGACAACTCTCAAGGCACTTCTGTATCTGTGGGAGATTTTGAGACCTTTAAAAAAATTGAATCCATTCTCACCCTCTTAATGAGTGGGTGCAGTTCCAGATTTTTTTTGTTGTTGTTGTTTTTAAAAAAAAAATCACCCTGCACTTTCACTGTTATAGCTAACTAATCAAGTGACTGAATTCAAAATTCTGGTCTGTTACAATTCCTCTGCCACCTTGCTCACTGATGCAGATAACTGAGGCAATAGAGAGGGTGAAGGATGATGGTGAGTCGGGACAAATGTATTTCAGTGCACAGAGGAAAGAGAGACACAGGACAGGCGATGCAGTCACCACTGTAATTTGGCAACCAAATGCCACTTAGGGTTCTTTGCATAAGGGGATGCATTTCCTCACTTGTAAACCTGTGACACATCCAGGTTTTAGCTATAAATTAATTTAGTGATTTATGGAAGGTCAGACTTTTGTTCTGCTAAATTAAACTGTTATGGAATTCACACAATGATAAAAAGCACAAGACCATTTTTCCTCAATTTGTTAGTTCTGCACTTCCTCAGTATTCAACATTTTAACATTGTTTTTGGACACCACTGAGTGGAGCTCAAATATCAATTTAGAACAAATTAAACCTCTCAGGCTATTGCCAGGATCCACTACACATTTCTGAGTCTACCTCATTTGCAGCCTGCAGAACAGAGCAGTACCTTTTATGGTGCAAACATCCATCTAAAGGCAGATCAGAAGTAAAATGAATTAAATGCTGCTGTTTAACCTCATCTCTGAGCAGAAGAGGGGATTGGCACACCACTCCACAAGCAGAAGCTTGGGAAAGGTTTTCTTCTTTCTATATACACTGTGGATGTGATTATCCTATCCTCAACCTCACACAATGCCCTGCCTTTCTCACTTTTTCAAGATCCAAGTGTCCTCAGAGGTGCAAACTCTGCAGGGATTGCCAGTATCATTGATCCTGGCAGAATGATTCGTTTATACCAAAAGTTAGCATCAACTACTCAGTGAATGAGAACACACACTGCTAAAAGTAACTGTAATGAGGTTCCTCTGTAAAAGGAAGATAATGGATGCAAAGTATTTTTAAAATTACACCTTTAATCATATCTCTAACCTCCTCTGTACACACAGCTGAAGAGTCTTGCTGTTTCTCTGCGTACTTGTCAGCCATGTGCGTGGCCAATTGTAAAGTTTCTCTCCACTTCCGTGGCTGGTACTTAAAAAATACTGTCAGGAGAGACACTAAAAAAAATGCCCAAGATGCTGAAGGGAGTGGTAATACATCAGGTGGCACAAAGACAACTGTAGCTGAATCAATGCCCAGAAGCCTGTTGGAGCTTACCATCCTACTGCAGTTGCTTGCACAGGCATTGAGCTTTATTGAATTAAAGATTTTGGGGCTTTTTTTTTTTTTTTTGAGGCTTTTTTGTGTTTTTAATCTAATAGGATAATTGTAAGTAAGGCTTGCAAAAAGCGGCAAAAGAAGAAAAAAATAGTTTCTCAAAGAAAATTTTGTTTTTCTTTAACCTAGATTGTCTTCTGAAATACAGAATTTCATCCTGTACTGTACATTTCAAAACTCGCAACCACTACTGTGTTAAGTAAAATAACTCATTTGTATTACTAGTTTACTTTGGATTAATGCATAAATCCCCTTACCTTAGCTATGATACGGCACAGATGAGCACCTTCCTGGGTAAGGCTGAATAAACTACTAATCGCTGTCTCAGTCATGTACACATTATCCGACAATTCTATTTGTCTCAGCAGGTTCTGTGTGACATAAGATAATAAACATAATTTACTTCCAATGAAAAACATTAGTGTTATATTTAAAGATAAGATGGAGTAGAAAGTCCTGTTCATTTAATCCATATCATCTTACTTCTCACCCAGAGAAAGAAAAGGGAAAAAAAAAAAAACAACCCACAAACCATGGGCAGGAGTCAAACTGAACACTTTAACACATTTATCATTTCCTTTGAATAGATGTAACCAAGAATAGTGATATTTAAAAATCAATATGAATAGAATAAGAGAACAGGTATGTGTGTGAGAACTTTCAATAAAGAGCTCTTCAGATATTTAGTAAATTATTACTGGGTTTGGCCTGGGACTGAACTAAAACTTTCAGAAGGCAACTAATTGTCTTAGTGCTGAAGCTGTATCACAAGGTGATACAAGATTTCCACCTTATTTGTAAGGAATATTGCTATATCCTTTCTAACACTACTTTCTAAGGCTCCAGGTTCATCACTATTCTCAGTATACACAGAAAATATCATTGACCAATATAGGGAATTTTAGTAGAGAAATATAGTTTATTTCTCCAATGTATGAAATAGGTTAAATATTTTTATCTTTTTAAATAGTTATCTTGCTTTTGCATGTGTGCCATTGCAGCTTCAGAGAAACACAGCTGACAGAAGCATATGAAGTTTATTTAATTTTACTCTTTCTGTAAGTACACACAATCATTAGAGGAAGAATTAATCAGATTTGCTAGGAGGAAGGTGGTAAGCATTTTTATATTTAATCCAACTTTGAAAGAAGTGCAAAGAAATATCCCATATTTTACTCTGCTATTGATACAAAATTCAATTATCTTCCCTTTAAGAGGCTGTGTTCTCCCACCTTTAGCATCTTCCCTTAGAAAAATGTTCCATAAAAGACATAACTTATCAGTTCACATTTTGATATGAACCTGTCCTGAATAAAATCCTGATGCACTGATTAGAAAAGAAAGCTCTTGAGTACACAATTTAAGCTGAGAGTTCTGGCCTCTCACACAGACACTTAGTCTGCTCCAGAGCAGCAAACTACCTACAGACAATGCGGTTGTATGGCAGAAGTGGGCACGCAGCCCAACTGAATGGCTCAGAAAACTGTTCCTAAAAATGTTTTTGTTAATGACCTCTAATCTAAGTCTTCAGCCACACAAATACACATGAGATGGTTCAGAGTAATTAATTCTGCTACCTTAAAAGAAAAAGGGACTAGGATTTCAGGTGTGCCAGTAGGTGTCAAAGTGCCCAAAGACAGAACTATTAGCAGTGAAGAACTGTTCTTCAGATTAAAAAGAATAAGCATCAAAACAACCACAACCTACTCACTGAATTTGCAATAGGCAAATTTATTTACACACTTCAACTCATATGTGGCAATTCATTTAGTTCTCATAAATCCTAATGAAAGCGCATTAGCCAAGTAGCTTGTTAGTTTGACTGTAATTCTGCAAATGTATTCTAGAGATTCTCACTTCCTAGCAATAATCTTTTAAAACTATAAGGGATGTTTCTGAAAGAGCCACAACTTTTTTTTTTTTTTTTTTTTCTATCTTAATGCATCAAGGTACATTAGAATTTAACAAATACCAAGTGTTAATTTTGGTTTAGCACCATAGTAAATACTATTCAACTATTTCCTCTTCACTAAGCCTCTCATTTCCTCTTTTTCTGTAGGGAGAATGTAAAATTTCAGCATAACATCACCTCCAAAATATGGACAAATTAATTGAGCATAATTACATTTGGGGTTTTTTATTTGAGGAAGATTAGAGGGTGCAAAGGGATTACTAATGAGATCTCAAGAAAGAAACCAGTGTAAGCCAAGATAGATTGGTTAGACTTGCAAGTTGCTACTATTTCAAGAATGGTCTAATGGAAAAAAATCAATGCATTTGTAGGCTCAGCCTAGTTACTCAGTGTATTTATCTACATTTAATCACCACTGGAAACTATGCATCATGCCTGCAATGATACAGCACTGTTTGTGGAAGGTTACACACACACACACACGTATAACCTGTACACAACACTGTATTTTATCACTACTTCCTAGAGTGTAAGACATGCACTGGTTAAAATGTGTGCTGTAAAAATATACCTCCTGTATGTACATCTTCTAAAAAGTTAAACTTCTAATGACAATCATTGAGAACAGGAGAGACTTTTTTCAAGGTTTCTAAAAAAAAAGCAGTATCTGCATGAAAGGAAGAGAAAAGGTGTCCAGAGGTCTTATTAACAAGATATTGTCCAGAAATCAGATGCCTTGCAATGAAGGATGCCTATCAGGAAAAGTAAGTAACATATTGAGCCACAAGATCATCGTGTTTGGGATTTGAGGTTATTGGAGAATTTGAGAATACAAACACCTAAATCTCTCTGCAAGATATTTGAATTGCTGATCGTAAGTTTGCTGAAATTGAGAGCTGTAATTATAATCCTCCTCTTAATGGATGCTTTCCTCAAGATTCAACAATTTTGAAAGACTTTTTTTTTTTTAAACTATAAACTAACCTGTGCCTCTTGTGTTAAAACCAGCTCTATTAACTGGCCAAAATACTGAGCAACTGTAGTGAGTGTTTCATTAATACAAGATTTCATGGCCTTCAGTATCTGTTCATCCTCAGTTTGTATGCACCTGAAAAGAAACAGAAATGAAAGGGTTGAAGGAAAAAAGATGCAACAGACAACTATTGTTTTATCAAGCTGATTGTCACAGGTGACCTCTGTGTAAATAATGGGGTTATAACAGGAATTCAACTGTTCACATGAGGACACTCTGTCTTTGTGCCATTAGCATCACACCAGGCTTTAATCACAGCTTTGTCTACACATAGTAAGTATACCATCAAAGGACAACAGTGGACATTAATGAATAACTTTGGGATCACAATTTCCTTCACAGACTGCAGGCCAAATTTTGCTGCAGTTGCTGTGTTTATACCAGTGTAACTCTGCTATTTTCCACTTATGCTTTTAGTTACAGTCACTCTAGGATGCCTGCATTTCAAATGCAGCTGCGTATACCCATCCATCGTTCATGAACAAAGAAGTGCTTTTGATAATTTTCATTTCTCTACCTTCTTCGCCATAGTTTAAAGATAGCAGGATAAGGACCCAAAATGAATGTGTGCCCAGATGAGTAAAGTTCATTTAAATTTAAACAGCATACTCAAAAGTAAAATTTGTCCTTCTATGCAGAAAGATTACATACAGCAGCTTTACGGAGTTAGTATAACTATCCTGTAACCAGTGATATTTGGCTGTAACTGAAGAAATGAGATAAAGGTGATACAATTCAAATGAAATAACTAATACTTCCTCACAGAAGTGCATTCATTTGAGTTGTCAAAACATATTCCATGCAGGCAGGCCACTGTAATGGAAGATATAGTTTGGTTGATCAATGTCTCCACCTACACAGTAGGTTCCCTTTTCAGCTTTACCTGTCTTTTACCCTCCTATATCAACTTTTTGTCAAACAGACAAGGAGGGAGAGTGCCGATTTGGTGCAGACACTACGAGATCAGAGCTCTCATTACATCAGTGTGTCTCATAGTAGAATATAAAAGTAAAGTCTGAGCTGTGTGGGTTTGGCAAAAAGCAATAGTGCTCAAGAAATGTTCTTTCCTGATAATTACATGGTGTCTTTTTCCCCTGATGATCCCCTGAGCAGAATGACTTGCACAGTGTTTCATGTAAATCGAAAAAGACTGATTGAACTGTGCTGGAGGAAACAAGATAACTTATGTTAGGCAGGGGAAATATCATAGGAAGAATTATAAAGAGATTCTTATTTTCCACTCTCAGCATTCTGGAGTGCACAGAGCTGAGTAAACCTACAACTGCAATTTAAAGGAATGTGTATTTATTTGGGCTTGATTTACTAATGCATGGATATGTGCATACAGGAACAAGTAGTACGACAGTCTTGCAACGTAAGCTTTCACACTAGCTGAAGTCTTGGCTCCACAGAACTTGAAGGGAACTTTGTCACTGATATCATTAGAGCTAGACTTTCTCCCTTGATGTCTAAAAGCCCTGAAAAATCCACTTACGCACAGCTTTGTGTCTATGCCAGGCTCTTTGCGCAACAGCAGATCCCATCTTTCATTAGGATGCAGCTTAGATAAAAGCAACTCACTTCACCCACCAGAGGCTAACATTTAGAAAGCCTTTCGGAGCTTGCGGGGGCCTAGTTCAAACGTTTGAGGGTGTTAGTAGATTTGTACTTCTCATTAAAAATTCCACAACATAATAAAACAACAAAATGAATATTTCAACTAGAAAATTTAAATTACCTTTCTGTGAATGCTGTAAATTCTGAACACTTGTCTATTAAAAGTTTTTCAAACTGCAGAGAGAGGGAGAAAAAAAGAAGTGGTTTTAAAGCAATATCCATATACACAATTGCTTTTTAAAAATAAATAATGCTTGTTATTAGGTGAAAACCCTCAAGAAAAGTATTTCATATGGACACCCTTTTTTTACTTTTCTGCATCAAACGAGTAGAGATAAAACTGAAGTTAATAAAAAAGTAGTATTTTCTACATTGTAAAAGCAAAGGAACTCACACATGGGGCATCTAATTACTTCAGTCCAGTAGTCCTCAAAACCAAAACATTTCTCAACATAATTTGTCAACATTATTAACATTCAGAATCAGACCTATGATAAAATAGGATCCAAAATGAGTCAAGAATGTTTCCATAGCTGAAAAGGCATTAGAAAGTCTTAAACAAGGGACCAGAATCAATATGTAAGGATTTCTTACAGATTGCTTAAAGTAAGTTTTAACTATTACAATTAAAAAAATTTTAAAAGCAAACATGACATCAGGTAAGGCATCCTACCTGGTGCATTTCTTCTGAAGAATTTCTGGTGAACGTATTGTATTCATTTATCATGGAACGTACGTGGCAGTTGACTCTTACTGTCATGCTGTGGACTCTCTGCCATCTATTCTTCTCCAGCTTTTGAGCAATCCTGGTCAACTCCGTGCTTATGATCCAAGCTCTTTTCAATAGCAGCTGTAAGTTATCACATGTGCTATATTGTGAGGAAAGAATAAGTTCATTTTGTTCATCCTTCTCAATGCTAATTGGCTTGGACTGGAGAATACACATGCATTCACAGTCTGTCATCAACTTCAAATCTTCCATCCATCGCTGAACGGAATCCACCTGAATTAAGTGCATGCTAGAAGCAGAGAAAGAGAAGGAAGAATGAGATAAAGCAAAACAACCTCAGAATAACCACCAGTAATACCATAGTTACACCCACCTACCAGGTTGCAGTTGATTGACAAAGGGCAACTAGCTGAACAAACAATTCGCTTGCAGTAACACAGCGACATCCTTAGCTTTCTATTCCAAACGCAGGTTTTGGGTTTCTAATCACCTTTACACCACATCTCTTCCATAAAATTATTTGTGAAAAATCAGTAGAGATTAGAGATAAGTAAACAGGAGAAGTTTAGATTACACGTTTTGGGGAAAATGTTTCTTGTACATTCAGAGTTTAATATGATGAAGTTACGGATGTGTTTGCTTGTTGTTTATGGGAATGTACTGTCAGCTTTTTCTAGACACTTTGCCTATTAGACACTTAACAGAAAAAGTTTTACCTTGCAGCATCTCTCTAAAGCCCTTCCACCCACATCGACACAGCCAAACCAAGACAGTGAACAATACTGTCAGCAATATCCGTTTCTGCCGTATCATAATCCCTTAAATCTCAACTGGATTCTACTTCCTGACCAGTCCTTTAGCTTCCCTTCTCACTGCTCTCTGTACAATTTGCACATCTGACTTCCAAAGCACATTTTTGCACTACAGCAAATATGCTGTTAACCAGTGAGGCTGAAAGAAACTCCTTGAGGAGTATACCCTGACACAAGGGCAATGGGCCTGCATCTTGTGCCCTTGCACCCTCCAGCTAGTAAAATCTGGTACCCGAGACAGCAGCTATACTGAGCTGTTCTGAGCTCATCTTTGTGAGGCATCCTGAGTTCCCCAAAGCCTTGAGGTAGAGTTGCCTAGAATTTTTTCTTGTAGTGATGTGCCCAGATCCTAATAAAAACCCCTTAATCCTCACCCCAGCCATACACACATACAGAGCCGGGTTTCAGTAGACATTACTAGTGTTATGAACGTTATATCTAACAGTATGTAAAGGTCAGGTATAGGACCCTAGGTCAGACAGAGCAAAGTTTACACAACTGGATTCATCCTTACCTACTTTGTCTTTGCAGACAGGCTATGGTTTCTGCTTTTTTTTCATTTAGCTCAGGGAATTCCTTAGTGGCAGCACCCTGATCCCTTTGACTCCCTGGAAATTTCTCCCTCTCTCTGAGGCCTGCCTGGCCCATTGCTTCCTCCTGCAGTCTCTCAGACCATCTGCACAAAATGCAGGCTCCCAGCAGCTTTGTATTTTGACTCTCGCCTACCACACCTAAGGCTGGACCTCTGTTTCCCTTTGCAGGAGGGAGCTCCCCAAGGAAGGAGCCTCTGCCGGGGGGTCCCATCTGACCTTTGCTTCCAAACCAAGGACAGAACAGACACTCTCCATCTCCAGAAATCATCCGTCCAAAATTTTTTTCAGATTTAACAGTAGGTCCAGATTATTTCAGTTTACATTTCCCCTCCCCAATCCTCACAAGAGACCAGTTCCTCCGGTAAATATATACATAAATATACATATAAAACATTCTTACTATCAATAGTAGATATATAATAAGTGTATGTGTATATATATATTAAAAAATATATATAAATCTAAAAGACAGTTACGTAGAGCTAAGGGAAAAAGAAGTTATTGTTAAAAAGAAAGCCATAATGTATTTTCAAATTACTTAAGTTTTCTTTATCTTTATGCAAAAGCTTAAAAGATTCAGCTTAAAAGATTCTCAGTGATGGTTGCTGAAATTAACCATGGTTGCAGTGCTAAAGACTGACTTTACCAATATCTGTCCCTCACTAGGCCCATTATATCCCTGCTCAATGCAACATCATTCACTGGTAATAAAGCAAAGTAGGAGGCCAAGAGTTCAAAGAATCACTGCAAGTCTCCATAGCATAGGAGATTTTGATTTTTATATGTCTAAAACAGTTTCTGCAGAATTTATAAACACAAGCATGACCAACAAATGTCATATTCGCATGCACAACACACTGCCAAAAGGGGCACTTTACTCAGCAAGAATTTCAGATTTCTGATCTACAATGAATAAAATAATTTTTCTGACAGTTTTCATCAGCTGAAGACTCAGTCTTAATTTTTGGCAAGTCTTCTTAACATGAAATACTTCAAAATTTTAGTATGTCTTCCTCTAGTGAAAGATGGATTGATATTAAAAGATTCCAAAGAAATGAAGATGAAAGGTAAAGAAGAAATGAAATTAAGTGAAAGCACGAGAGACTGGGCTTAACTATTTTTTCCAAACTTCTGTTGGTATCCTACAGCTAATCTGACAGTGTAGTGGATTGTTGTCAGCCTTCTGGCTACACGCTGCAGTTTTATAAGATGCTATACCAGAAAGGACAACGAAAGTTTGTATTATAGCCCCCATTCTTTTAATCCAGATATTGATTTATTGCAACTCAGCATCACAGCAGTAATGCTTTGTGCTGTTATATAAAGCCTTTCTGTTAGAACAAAATCTGCAAGTACATTAGCCAAGCCAAAGATGACCAGGGGGAAGGCCTTTTTAATTCTTGTGCTTCCATTTATACACTGAGCACCCGCTGAACTCAAGAAATCTCCTTCCAGACCACTGAAGTAGTATTCCACAAATTACCAAGTTTATTAACAAACATATGAAAAGGAGGCTCACCTCAAGTATAATTTCATATAAATCAACAGCAAACAAGATACAAGAGATCAGTTTCATTGATCCAATCCCCCTTTTCACCATATACAATGAAACTACTTTTAATTTTAAACTTTACAGGCTACTGCTATTCAAGGTCTTTATTCCACCCAGCTTTGAATATTGCGTAATTGCATTTCATGATCGATTGTGGCTCACTTTCTTCTTGCTATGTGTAGTCTCTTTATTGCCTTTTTGGATCTGAAGCAAGGTTTCCTAATAAACAAAAATAACAACTTTAGAAGTTTGAGACCATGATTTATAACGATGTGCATAGTTTGCATGCAGTACAGGATAAACTCATTTGACACAGAGTAATGTCTTTTTCATTTCTAAAGTGCATTATGATAATTGATTAAATCTCTGTTTAGTAAGTACAAATAAACTCTTACACTATAAATTCACATGGAAAAAACCTAGAATAGAAGGTTAGTCAGAAAAAAACAAAAAAATCATATTTCCTTTAATCCCAAAAGCCAATCTTCACTCTAATGAAAAAAAAGGACGATAGAGCTGTACAAAAAAGGTAGAGATGTTAAAGAAACTCTCCTTGTTTGCCTCTGTTCCTCCCAATTGTCAGAAGTACAGCTGTAGAATTTAGGATGTTCTGTCATTGAAGCTTAGTATTCCTTAAGTCACAACAATGGCAAAAATAATACCATTCATCTCCTTTCAGACAGAAGAACCACAGAAAACTCCCGCTGCTCACTATGTCAGCTTTTCTGACCCATTATTCTTTAAAATACACATATATCATGATTACTCAAGTGAAATACACAAATGATTCACCTCCATCTACATCTCCCTGTATTTAGAGAAAATCTTCCTAAGCATTCAGCAGATTAATTTGTAGACTAATTTTTTATATGTTAAAATAAGGAAAGCAAAAAGTGTGATCATTCCTAATCAGCTATTAAGAGTCATATTCCAGACAGCATTTACTGAACTCCAAAAACAAGTTGAAAATTTCCATTTTGTCTCCCCATTACTGAAAAAACAAAACAAAACAACCTATCTACGCCTACAAAATAAAAACAGCCATAATGGGTCCAGACAAAAAAAAAAAAAAAAAAAAAAAAAAAAGAAAAAATCTGTCTAGCCCATTATCCTGCTCCCAACATGGCCATTAGGAGATGCATAAGGGAAGATTATAAGAGGCATGGCAAGAGCTGAGCAACCCCTCCTTCCCATCTTCTGGCAATTAGTGGTTTAGGAACTTCCTAAGCCAGAAGTTGTGCCTGAGCAGGATGTTTTTACAATTCATGAAACAAAACTATCCATTAATCCCCTTTTTGAACTCAGTTAAACTTTTGGCCTTTACAACATCTAGTGGCAGTGTCTCACATTGTTTGATTATTTTTTGTATGAAAAAATGTGTCTTATTGTTTGTTTTAAACTTGCTGCCTGGAGATATTAACACAAGCTCTTTAGTTCTTGTATGCTAAGAGTTACTGAAATGACAATTCCACATTCACCCTCTTCGTGTAAGTCATTATTTTATTTGCTCTACCCTATCTTCTCTCGGTTATCTCATTTCCAAAGTAAAGAAACTCAGTCTATCTAGTCTGTCACTATGCAGAAGTGATTCCACTCCTCTGATCATCCACTTACTCTCCCCACCTTTTCAAAAAGCATTTTTCAGTTTTCCTATGTCCTAAGATGCGATGGCAAGAACAGCACGCAATATCCAAGATTCAGGTAAATATGGATTTATACATTTGAATTACACTTTCTGCACTGTTCCTATTTTCCAAGAATTCCCAAAATTAAATTTCTCTTTTACTTAAGTGTTTTCCAGAGAACTGTTTCATTTTTACTTTTCAGAAAATCTACCTATTTTGATTTCAGAATCTTTTCCATGAGTGATAATACATAATTTATAGTTCGCTATTCCATATGTATGATGAAAGAAATTGTTCTTCAGTTCCCTTCCTCTCCTCACATAATGTTCATTAACATATAATTTCTTCTGGCATTTTACATTTCAGTGACTCAGTATTGTGAGACTTTTTGTGTTTGCACATTATTTTAAATTAACCTAAACAGTTCTGCATCAGCAGAAGTGTTGTTGTCCTGCTATTATAACTACTTTTCAGGTTGTTAAATACATTAAGCAAGAATGGTTCGAGCATAAGGGACCTTACTGGTGTGATTTTCCCCAGTTCTGTTTGATTGAGCAACAGTAGCTGGGTAACTGGCAGAGATCCTGATGTATATAGATAGTAGTTGCCCACCAGTTAGAATTTCTGAATTTAGTATGTCATGGCATATTGACAAAAAAGCAATTTATCTAGATTCTACACTATAAAAGCAGCATTTCATGTAAAAATAGCAGTAAAAATAATTCAGTGCAAAATAAAAATTCAAAAGAAAGTCTGCAGCATTTCTTCAAAGTCATTCTATTTTAATTGAGGTTGTAAAATATTTGATGAAGTTTTCAAGAGCACTCAACTGAACTTGAGTAACTAGCAATTTGAATACTCTGAATTCTAGTGCGCTTGCCAAAAAAACAGTGTCTTCTAAAAATTGTGTTATTTTGACAATATAATTTGGTGTTACTGGTTGAAACCAACTTAGAGCAACAGCATGTTAAAAGTATATTGCTTCAAAAAATGCTCAGACCTTGTTTCATACAGATGTCTCTGCACTATATAACACAATGCAGGGAAATTTCATCCTGGAGAAAGACTCACGTAAAAAAAAAAATCCCATTTTAAATTTCTAAAAAGATGCAGATCACATTCAGAGTTCTGTCACTAACATTTCTCTTCTTTTTTACTATTTTCTATCTTCTAGTAAGTAGTTTGTTAACTAATTAATCACAAGATCTTTAGGATAGACAAGATGGATTGACATCTAGAGATGTCAATTCTATCTCATATTGGTGATACATGAATACAAAAGTGAAGAATTAATAACTAGATCATTTGTTTAAAACTTCCAGCTTGGCACTGTCCACTACAATCTTACTGGCAGCACATACACTTCTTTTTTTTAATTGCAAATATTATGATGAAAAAGAGTTATACCTCCATTTTAGCACTGAGTTTCACTAAGTGCAAAAGTTTCATGTTTTATAACATTGTGTTGAAGTCTGAGCTGATCAATTCATGTGAATAATCCCAGTGGTCATATTTGTAAAGTGTAAAGACTTCTGCTCAGTCAAATTATGTTTTCGAGGCTTCTTAGCCTTTTTATCCATTTTCACCTATTATGACAGATTTATTACCAATCCTAATGATAGCATTTAGTACAGCCTACGGTGAAAGTCAATGCCAAGACTTATGACTGGGCTCAAATTTATTATTCTAATTAGTGGTAGGTAATTAATTGGCAACAAACAACTTCTTGAATGGATTTAGCCCCCTCTTTGAACATAAATCCTCTCTAATTTTTTTCTAATTCATCTTTTCAAAATTATTCATAGGTACCCAACATACCCAGGGCCAGTTTCTACATCAATACACTGGACAGCAGAACTCAACTCTCAGTGGAAGGATTTAGTGAAGAGCCATAGAGACGACTCTTATTTATCCTCAAGTTGCTTTACTCAATATTAATTGCGTAAAAGAGCCTTACAGATCCATGATATTGTATTTGCACTGATTTTTAGCAAAACTTTATAGAGCTAGCTAGAGAGCTAGCTTAGAAGATACAAAATATCTTTAAGGTAGCTGAGAATCAGATTCCTGATTTTTAAGTGAACACACTGG